CTTCTGTGTGGTGCTTCATCTATTTTTTGAAGTCTTTAATTTAGAAAAAAGTCGTTAGGGAATCAAAAATGTGTACATTAATATAATCTATTTTAAATACAGATTAAATCCAGTTCTTATGTATGTGAACAGTTTTGCTAAAATTGCATTGTGTTTTATATAATAAACCAACCTAAAGAGATACTTTATATCTGAATAAAAAAGAAAAAATAACCACGGAAATATAAAGGCAATAAGTATATTTTTCTGACAAAGTAATAGTAACTAAAACTGGTCCTTATTGCAGTTCTAGTTGTATGTCTACCTGTTAACATGTTTGCCATGTAGTACCTTTATTAGTGTACGATAAATACATATGGTTTCAGGGTGTTGGAATATAGTATGAGTATTACTGAGTCCCTTGAATTGACATAAGTTTGGAAATGGTTTTAGCTAGTTTGGAAGCAAGAAACATGTTCCCATTTTTATTTTTTTCAGAGCTTTTCAGATGATGTTTTGACTCATGATTTTACAACATGATCAATGATCATTTTGTGTGAAATATTAATATTTAGTTACAGAGAAATAGTAAGGTATTTAAGATAGACTGTTGAAATATACAAGACAGTTAATATATTTAGGATGCAAACATGTATGGATACTAGTGTTACCTGAAAATAAATATATAATGAAAATAAATACATAATTGAAGATGCCTGTTATAATTTTTCATTTAGAAACAGAACTACTAAGTGTTTGTAATATACTCTGTAATTTACAAATACTTGATTGGATAAATGTTTGATGTATTTGCTTAAACTGATTTTAGAGCAACTAATATCCCTTTAGCACATAAGCTATCATAATGAAAAACAGAAGAAAAACTGCCACTACTTGATATGTTTCTAAAGGAAAAACTCATTTTTTCATCGTTTATTAAATTGCAAAACTTGTCAGTATTGTACTTTAGAAATCATTTGATGTAAAAGATCATGCTTTCTTTTGCTTTGAGTATCTCAAGAAATTCTTATATGTGGCTTTAATATAAAAGGACTCTAAAGGAAGTGCAAAAATATGTATGTTTTATTTAACTTAGATCTATAAAGCTTAGAGAAAAACCCTGCATAACAATTACAAAATAACTTCCCTCCCCTATTTCATTTTGGAGCATTAATTTTGCAAATGCCAAAAGGAACATTCCCATTGCATACCTGCAGACCCTGGATGAAATGACGGCAAACTTCTGGGTTTCTACTTGACCAGAGTGGCTCTTCTGGCTACAGTGAAAATGTGAGACAGGATTTAGCTGATTCAGTGTATGAAGTCGTTGGCTCTTCTCTATTTTGAGGATCTTTCAGATCTCCTTGTTTAAAAAAAAAAAAAAAAAAAAATTAGCTCAAGGGTAAGTTAGGTGGTGGGGGGAAATCCCCCACATATAAAAGCAAATTAGTTTTTAAAGAATAGAAAATGATCTGTATGAGAAATTACTTCTGAATTACCAGATTTAAGTGGAAATTAAACTTAGCTCCTGTTAACATTTCTGTAGAAACATGCATTTTGATTAAGCCAAACAACCAAAAAAAAGACCCTAAGAGCGACATAGTCATTTATCTATATACTCACAAATACTTTTCTTTTTTCGGATCATCGGTATTTTTTTCTTGCGTTATTTGCATCATTTTCTTTAACTTTATTTCCCGTTTTTCATAGAGAAGCTTTCTACCTAAGGCTGAATTGAATTACTGCTTACTTCCCTCTGTGAAGTCACTTCAGCAAAGAGTTACTCTTTGGAGTTAGGTCCTCATCTCTAATCTGTATCCCTCAGCTGAAACGCTTGGTCTTTGGCTGCCCCATCACCACCCTAAGGCACGTAGAAAGAGGGCTCTCGCTTTGCCCAGTCTGTTCACCGAGCTCCTTTTCAAATTGGTGAGGAGGGAGGTTTGTGGAAGGGGGAACTAGATGTATCAAACGACTCTGTGAAGCCAGTGTAATTTGTAAATTTGCCATAAACTTTTAAGTGAGAGTTGGAGTGGGGGTTTTGAGGTTAGCATGCTTTCAGAAATCAAAAGGAAAACGGGAGTTTTCATTTCAGAGGGTTCTGCTACTTAAGATTTTTTTTTCTAAATTTTACCAAAGCTATTAATTAGCAATTAATCAACATAATTAAAAGATATTAAAGTATTCATGACATTATTGTTATGTTACGTACTTAAACTTGAATATATAAATAGGCAAAACACACACAACAGCATTTATCAAATACTACTACTTAATATCACCTGTGTGTTCATTTAAATTTGAAGCAAGTGAAATATACACTACCTAGGAGAGTGCACCTCTTATCTGTCCATGAAAAGTGACAAAAATCACTGCTGTAATTGATACTTTTCATTCATTATGAAAAGCTTTTATACACTCGGTAGAGAGAAAGCCTCATTTCATTTTCCCAAACCAAAAAGATACTACCTAAATGCCTTTGTATAAAAGCTAATACAACATGACAAAAATAATATCATAGTCC